CTTCCACTGAATATTCCAAAAGATATCTTGCCTGGTATTTCATTCAAAATATGTCAGCTATTCCTCCTTATTTTCTCACCCCATTTCTATTAAAGCTTTTCTTTAAAAAGTTGGTTCTTTCAGTAATTGATCAACAGTACTAAAGTTGTTACCACGAAGTTGGGTGTTTCAACAGCTAGTCTTTCTATGTCTATCTACCTATTGAGTGACAGAAATCATGAATGTTATTAACCAATGTAGCTATATGTATGTATGAACCAATGTGGCTATATGATTTTTTTTAATTAAATTTGATTTGGTTTTTTGCATTATGTCTAATTAACTGGGTTAGCCACCAACATGCTCTGCTGTACTCCCCCAAAATACTTCTCTTTGTCTCTGTCTCTGTCTCTGTCTCTGTGTCTCTCTCTGTCTCTGTGTCTCTCTCTGTCTCTGTCTCTCTGTCTCTGTCTCTCTGTATCTTTGTCTGTCTGTCTCTGTCTCTCTCTGTGTCTTTCTGTCTGTCTCTTTGTCTCTGTCTCTGTCTCTGTCTCTGTCTCTCTCTCTCTCTCACCCTCCCTCACAGTCATGAAGTAGATATGTAAATCCTGGCTTCATCCTTGCCTGTTAATAGTACGGCCTTCATTTGTCCTACTCTAACCCCTGATTGTCTTGAGTCTCTCTGACTTCATCTGAACATCTATCAAAAGGTTACTCGTGCAGTTCAAAGGCAGTGAATCAGCCTGACATTGGACCTCACAGAGAAACAAGCAACCCAGGAAAATGAGCATCAGTTGATAACATTTTTCAGGTAGGAATAATTTAAGCAAAAAACCCAAGATGCTAATAAATGGTAATATTAACATATACTAATAAACTCACTTCCAGCCAGATCACATTTGTCATAAAGGAGCTTTAAGTTCATTCTGCTTTTGCAGAATAAAAATGTGTTTCATAAGACTGTCACACAACAAAAATGGAGAAGTCATATCCAGAGTATATAAAGTAAAACAAATTAAATTAAAATTTGAAAAAAAGATAAATCTTAAAAAATAAAAAGCCCAAAGAATGGCCTGTTGGTAGAATAGATATATTTCTCATAGGAAGAAGGCAAATAGCCAGTAAGCACATGACAAAGTGTTCATTAAGTTAACCATTACAAGCCTGCAAATTGAATAGACAATATATCTTGCTACTCCAGGAACAGCAGATATCATCAAAGACTCAAAAATAAATCAATGCATGCAATAACATACACGTGACAGGGTGAGGAAAAAAGAAATTGCTACATTGTTAGTAGCATAAAAATGAATATGGTCACTATGGAAACCAGAATGAAGATTCCTCAGGAAAATTAAAAATAGAAATTCTCTTTGACTCAGCTATAATTCATTTAAGAATCTTCCCCCCAAAAAATCAGTACGGAGATTCCTCAAAAGACTAGGATTGGAAGTTCCATTCAATCCAACTATTTCCCTCCTGGGTATTTTCCAAGAAAAACTGAAAAGGTCATGTCACAATGATATATGTGACCCATGTTCACAGCAGCCCAGTTGTGACAACTAAATCTTGCAAACAAACAAAATGTCCATCAGTCACAGAATGGATGGAAAAAAATGTGGTATTTTATACAATGGAATATTATTAAGCTATAAAAAGGATGCTCTTGAGGTCTTTGTATATAAATGGAGGCAACTTGAGAATATCCTCATGAGTGAAATGAACAAGACTCACATTAGTGAATATCACATTGTCTCTCTAGTGTAAACGATAATAAGAACCAATAGAATGATGGGATCCAAAAAGTATATAATAGATACTATAAAAGCCACAGGGAAGGAAAGTGTTCTAAGGGACATAACGGTATGTAGAGTATGTAAGATAGACAACCATATGACTGAATTTCTGTTAGATCATTAAACAGAAGGGTTTGCACTGTCAATGTTTGAGTGTCTAGACACTTTTTTATGTTTTGATTTTGTAAGTTTAACAACTATTGTTAAGGTGACAGTATGTGATGCATCAACTGGTGATTTTATGATGTGAATTTTTTCAAATTGATGTATATTTTTTTGAATTTTGTACTCTACTTTTTTATCATTTTTTTCTTTTTTGTGTTTTTAAATTTTCTTTTCTTTTTCTCTTTAAGTAAAATTTTTTTAAAGTTTAAATTTTAAAAAAAGGTTCTTCCCAAAAAACTTAGATAGGATGTACAGCGATCCATCCATATCCGTCAGTAAAGCAGAACGATTTATAATAGGTATACTTTGGAAGTGGAACAGAGACTTATTCACAGAAAAATAGATAAACAAAATGTGGTATTTATGAACAATGGAATACTACTCTGTCCTAAAGGAAAAATTTGAACTCTTATATGAAAATGACACACCACATTTTGATAATATTAAGTGAAATAAATGCTATGTAAAAATACCTTCACAGTTTATATAATCTAAAGAGCAACAATAGAAAAAAAAGATGATAAATGAGAAGAAAGGAAGGTGTATAGGGTTTGGGGCAGCATGAAATGATAAGAGAAACAAAAGAGGATCCCTGTGTGATCTGTACGCACACCAGTCCCTCAGAATGAACGTTTTTATTATGTACTCCAAATACAAATTAATAAAAATATTTCAAAATACAGCCCATAAATTTCCTCAACGATGCTTCTAGATTGACACATGCTTAACTAAATAAAGTCTGCACTGGCATTGCTGATGTACCTCCGTAGTATGTGGACATCAAAATGGAAATACTTGAGCCAAACAGATCAAGGCAGAAAAAGAATTTGCTGGAGTATCAAAGCGAAACTGTGAATTTTGCATCTCTCATATTCCTATATTGTGGACTATGTTATGAAATACAATTCATGTGAATGAGGTCACTGCTTTTAGGGGAAGACCATCTTGACACCGAAGAAGTCCTCGTGTGTTTTTCTCTGTGTGTTCATTTACTCGGTTGGTGAATAATGGGTAATTACTGCCTAATCCCCTCCATTCATTCTTAGGTTGGTATAATTATGGGGGGAAAAACCCTTTAGATTACTGACCTAATAGTTTGATGAATGACAATTCTCTACGCCGACACACCAGCATAGATACAGCTTCGAACGCTAGCCAGAAAATTCCAATATTTACATCCATATTAGAGGGAGATCAATTCTGCTTTTTTCCACCCCCATTAGACTTCTGATTGGCTTCTCCAAAACCGATGTGCTGATGACTCTGGAAAGCCTAAAAGATCTCTCAAGAAGTGGGAATGGAGTTGTCATTAAACCGATATTGTTTTTTCTTTCCCCTGATATAGTATTATTTCTGTATTTTTTTTTCCTACAGTTCCTGATTGCAGTTCAACACTGAAGCACAAGGAACTGTGGAAAGAGGCTCTATCTGGGTCACAAAGCACACAATTGCACCCCGTGGCTGTGAGATCTGAGAGCCTATTGATTTTCCTTCCTGGGTGGTCTACTGGGCTCCAAAGGCGTCTGTATTAAGAACCTGGCTTCCTATCTGAAGTTTCCCAGGTTGGCCCTACAGGATCTCAAGTTTATAGGCAGCAGAAACACATCCTATGGGTTTTGAGAGCAACAAAAATCCTTTTCTGTGGAGTCGGGTTGTACCACTTTCCCTAGTGGGCTTGCTTCTGTCTTTTCTGCTTTTTGGTTGGAAAAATCACAGCCCAGGTGGCCTAGCAAACGAGGACTCTAATTAGTTCTGACGACTTTCCCTCATTTTCTCACAGGAGGACAAAGCCACCACTCAGGGCCCCTCTGCAGCCAGGGAGCTTGGAAAAGAGCTTGGAAAGAGCCAGTGTCAGCCCCATTCCGTGAATCACACCAAGGCCAGGACTTTGCAAGACAATTGTGTTCCCCCACCATCACCGCAGGGCAGCATGCCAGGAACCAGGCATGTAGTAAAGCATGTCCTTTCATTTCTTTCTGTGCATCCTCCTTTGATACCTGCCACACCGAGCTCCACTAACTGGAAAACAGCATTCAAGGATCAGAGGATAACAAAAGAGATGGGGGGGGGGGACGTGCCCACAAAAATATGCAAAGGACGTGCTCAAGTTTCTATGGTAGCTAAGAAAGACTACCTTTAGATTCAGGAGGTTTTCATTGCATGGTTTTCATCATGGCTCTCAAAACTTTTAACTCGAAATCGTGACACATGAAGATATACAAACTGCTCTAGCCTTCGATGCATGCAGTGTTCTGAAAACTTTTTATTGGTATTTTCTAAAAAAACAAAAGGAGACTTTTTATAAGTAAGCGCAGTTTACAATGCAGCTGAATTCCTCTGACTGTGTACCTTTGCTGTTCCATCACAGGAAAAGAAAATGACACCAAAATTTACTTTAACAACCAAACGGGAACTTTAAGCAATGAAATCCAGTTAGTACTGTTCCATATTCCTTTGGGGTTTGAAAACAACCATTTTGCCTTCTATTTTGAGAGTCAATAAATATACAAATGCATAAATAAAGAAGCCAACATATTAAATCCTGAAGGCAAACCATCTTATTCTCCCTCTTAAGATGCAATAAATAAATAAATCGATAAATGTCCTAACCTAGAGAGCCCTTGATCAGAAGGAAAGTTTCCCTATGCCTGTCGCTGTGCAAACTTGAGAACTGAACTGTGTTTAATTCTTTCGGTTTATGCATTGGTGACTTTTGGGATGATTCGGGTATAAACCTGTGACATGGCACCTGTACGTACCAAGTACCGTCTGCCATGAAACTCCCGAGCCTTAGCTAAGACAATCTGCAAAAAAAACAGTCCAAAGTCATGAGTTCCTGTTTTCTTCCTCTACTTGGTAAATGCAAGTCGAACACATTTATGTCACTGTGATACACAGTGGGAGTCAGAAAACGAATGAATGAATAAATAGATAGATAGATAGATAGATAAATACATGTTAATGCCACCCTGCCCATGACATCACACAAGATCAGTGGAGAATCCATCTGCCAGGCAGCGAGACCAAGCTAACTGCCTTCCTTTCCAGCAAAACACTTACCATCTTCGGTGGGGACGTAGATGTTTAAGTACAAGCAGTCTTCGTTCTGATCCTGCACGTATGTCATCAGGGTATCCAAGTTGGCTGTAAACCAGATGGGCAGCATATCATGCAAGAGAGACCGCTCGTCCAGATGTTGGGGACACACAGCTGCAAACTGAGTAGCGTTGCGAACCCCTGTCCAGGAGGATGGGGGCTCGGGAGGCTGGAACCGCCTCTCTCCTGTGGGAGGCGAGGCATAGGGCACCCCCAAGTACTGCTCCACGGGACCCAGAATCTCATTGGGCAGTGGTGTTCTTAGGCCTCGGATTTTGCCATAGTTTGTGTTGACCACTGGATACTGTGCCTGGCTGTCGATCACCGTGAACTTGATGGCCAGCACCGTGATCCACAGGAGGACGTTGGAGTTGACCATGATGCAGACTGGGGTGCAGAACAAGGGGAGCCATAAGAGTCCCTTGGGCCTAGACATTGTTCTCTTCCACATCCGCAGGTGTCCGAGGGAGAGGTCTTCAAAGAAACAAAACCAGGCGTGGGGCCCGATGCTGGGGACAGAGGGACGTCCAGGCAGAAGAGGACCCAGGAGCTGTGGAACGCTGTGGGGAGGGCTCTCCGAGTGCTCATAGGCACAGCCCCATGTTATGAAGAAGGGTGGCACTGCTCTTGGCGATCCATGGCTGCACAGGTCCCCTGTCTACTCCTGCAAGCAGATGCCACCAGCTAACAGCAGCACTCCCGAAGAAGCAAGCCGTGACCATGCAGCACCTCCCGAGCACGAGAACTCATTAGGAAAACTCCAGAGAAGCCTAGAGGAAAAAAGAGAGAGACAGACATCGTGAAGCCAAAGCAGCCAGCGTCTAGACACCGACCATCTGCGCCATGCAAGTTACAAGAACCTTTCTGGAATTCATACCCAGTGAGGAACTGAGAATCTTGAATGGAAGAAAGAAAGTTTAGACACCTGTGCCATTCACCCCACCTCCTTGAACAGTGCAGGGCATTTAAAAAAATACACAAAAGCTCTTATGCTGTGTTTTGGTTTGGTTTGGTTTGTTTGTTAGTACCTGGGATTGAACTCACAACCTCACACTTGCCAGGCAGGTGATTACACCTCTGAGCTAAAACCCCTGGCCCGCTGTTTCATTTTTTTTTTTTTTTCTTAAAGAATAAAAACCACATTACGCAATTTCAAAACAAAAGGAGATTAATACTGGTTAATTTATTGCATATTGTTATCTTCAAAATGGTTCAAATTATAAGATATATCTATTGAGCATTATGGATGGATTCCCAAAAGTGACACAGTTTCCACGAATCACTGTAAAGATTCACCCCAATTGACTATGGCTTTTAAGATTAATCAAGCAATAGATGCACGTGTCAAAAATAATGGTTTTGAGACATTCGAAGAAATGGTGCTTTTTCCCTAAGGGAGTACGCGCAGGTTCACCAAGACTCATCCAGTGTAGGAAAAAATGGAAACACATTAGGGCCAGTCTGGATTTCAGGAGGTGTGAATGTTTCTTAGATAAAGCTTTGGACATTAACCCATTTTGCTATGTTCAATGAAATGCCTAGATAGTACATTACATTGCTCTGAGACTCAAATTGAAAAAAAAAATAATAATAACAGACAGGGCATTTCATTTTTATTTTATTTTTGAGGCAAAGTCTTCACTGTGCTGCCCAAACTAGGCTTGAAGTTGAGATCCTAATACCTCAGCCTTGCTAGTAGATGAGGCTCCAGGTCTGTACCCCACACCGGATAAGACAGTGCATTTCATGCACACCCTATAGAGCTGGTCAATTGGTATTGATGCTGTTATCAGTGTGTTATTTCAGGCCTTAACTGGTTGGTATATTTTTCATGCTGCTGTAGCTCTTACAAAAGGCAGGTGTCACACTGGAATTACCCTCTGTGACTCTAGCAAGCCTGTAATCTCAGCACTCAGGGGCTGAGGCAAGAGGATCACTGTGAGTTCCAGGGCAGCCTGGGTTAGAAAGTTAGCTGAATGTCAGCCAGCCTGAACTGCAGAGCAAGCCCCTGTCTCAGAAAGACAAAAGATAAAATAATAAATAAAAAATAATGAAATGTCATCGTTACTCATTAGAGAAATGCAAATTAAAACCACACTGAGATTCCATCTCACTCCTGAAAGAATGGCCAGGATCAAGAAAACCACCAACAATAAATGCTGGAGAGGCTGTGGGGAAAAAGGAGCTCTCCTGCACTGTTGGTGGGAGTGTAGACTGGTACAACCTTTGTGGAGGTCAGTCTGGAGATTTCTCAAATAGCTGGATTGGAAGTCCCATTTATTCCAGCTATTCCACTTCTAGGCATATTCCTAGAAAAACTGAAAACATCATACCACAGTGATATATTTGCACCCATGTTTATAGCAGCACTATTTGTAATAGCCAGATCTTGGAAAAAACCTAAGTGTCCCATCAACTGAGGAATGAATTAAAAAATTATAGTATTTTTATGCAATGGAGTACTACTCAGCTATAAAGGATCACATTGAGATATTTATAAAAAATTGAGACCATAGTCATAAGTGAAATAAATCAAACTCACATGTATATATACCGAATAGTTTCCCTAGTGTAAGAAATGGTAAGAATACATAAAAGTATGCGGTAAACATGATTCCCCATTATTTTGCTTTGAAGCCTTATAATGTTTTCATTAATTGGAATGGTTCTATTCTGGGTTGTTTGATTTTAATGTCTGTGATGGTATGAACAGTTATTTTGAAGAAAACGACAATATAATAACTAGTGTTGATATAATATCATCTTATTTTGAAGTCCCATCAAGCTTTTGTTCTTCTGTCTCCATCGGTTTATCATGTTGTATCTTACTGGATTTTATTATATGAGGTAGTATAAACAAAAATTTTTATAGACAAGGAGATAATATAGAAACCATTGTTCGTTCGTTTTCTGTTAGTTGGTTCTAAATACCCTGTAATACTTTCATTCTCTTGAATGGTTTTACACTGTCGTGTTGTGTTTGATGCTATATTATATGAAGTTATACAAATATTTCAAGGAAAGAGACACTATGGTAGCTACTGTTATGTCGGGTTATCTGGTGGTGAAATACTGTGTTGCTTAAATTGTTCTGTTCTGACCTGTGTTAATATGCTGTTATGTTCTCTTTGGCGGTTGGATCATGGAATCATTGTGCTCATCAGTGCAGCCAGTGGTGGATGCCTTCTGTAGCTGGAGGTGCTTTTGCAGAGTAGAGCCTGGTCAGAAGACATTGGTCACCAGGGGTGTGACCTCAAAAGTCTCCTCTCTTCCCTGTCTGCTTCCTGGCTACTGTGATATGAGCTGCTGTCCAACATGTCTTCCCACCGTGCCATTTCTGTCTCCCAACCAGCAGCCCGTGGAGTGAATTGGGAGCCAAAACAAACTTTCTTCCCTTAAATCATGACAACTGGGTATTGTATCTCAGTGACAGGAAAGTGACCATGACATCCTCCCATTGACCGCAGGAGGTGGGATCACCTCCTCCATGTATCTCTATACAGATTTGTGCATCCCCCCAAAATTGCTGTGCTTAAAGCCACGGAGCATATTGTGCACCAGCAGACAATATGACCTCTTAGGGATTGCAGGACCGGAGAACATTTCATCGGGAGTTGCAAAGAAATACCTGCAAAAACAGTGTTCTTTAACTCAAAAGTAGACACGTAAGTTTACAAGAGCATTGGGGTGTTTCAGAGTATTTCTTCAGTAGGTCATAAGTGTGTGCTTCATTCAGTTGAATGGTGGACCTGGATATACCAAAAAGCTAATTTTTTACAAGCTAGATACATATCAAGCAGCCGCCCTATAGTATATAGCATACTGGGCAGAGCTAATTAGAATTGAAAGCAAAGACACTAAACTCTGGATTGTTACTTGGAAAATGACTAATAGCATTCCACCAAATGCCTGATTTATAGGTTTGCTTCTATCTTTGAATTCTCCCGTAGACACCATTTGGTCGTCTGCCAGGCAGTGATTCAATTTCTGCATAATTAAGAGACAGACAAGAACAAGAAACAGGTGATGACATATGTGAAGGTTTGCGTTTTCCTGAAATCCTGTCTGTTTTTAAACGAGGACTCTCATTTATTTCTACTGCTTTCTTTCTTGAAATAGGAAACTTCAGTGACTTACATCAAATCTGAACTGAAATTTGAGTCTTGGGTCTTGGAACACTTTTCCTGTGGTCAAAGAGACATGGGCATATACCTCTGTTGACTTCCAATAAAATGGTGTGTCCCTCCTACAGAGCAGGGAAGGGTGCCATATGCAAAGGGTACCTGGTGTGAGAGACACACAAATGGGCTGGGGTTGAAACAGTGATCTGGTCAAAACAGGGGTACGTAGAGGGATACAATGTAAAAACCTGCTGTCTACCAACAATTCATGATGAGCAGGCTTTAGAGCATCAAGTTTAAATTCTTTGGGTGTCCCCTTACTTAGGTGTTTAAAGCTTTTGGGGACAAAATGAAAAAGTATACTTAAAGTACCATGTGCATTTCAGGATACAGAATTTCATCTGTGAGGTATTCAGTGGGTACATTTCTCCAGGTGATTATTAAAAAGCGGATTTTATCCAGTGCATAATTTCTTCAATTTAACAATGGAAAAGAATATCTGTGGGTCACACAGAGTTTATGACAGACCCAGGTGGGTCACATTGAGGCTTCATGCTTAGAGCTCTATGACCAGGTGTTTTATAACTCTGCATCTCTACCAGGTTCTGACGAATAATGACAGATGACAAACCTGATGCTTTTAAGAGGCAGGGTCTCTTCACACTTGTGAGATCTGTGTTATATGCACAAGCACTATACTTTTTAAGATTTGCTCATATTTTCTGAATCAGCTAATTTGCATGTCAGTAATATGGTCTAAAGCCCAGTGCATCGCAATAGCTACAGCACTGACATGTTAAAGGATGCCGTTCCTTCTTTGTTTTGGGGTATCTCTCTCTCATGCCTTATAAGGTGCTGGGTAGCAAGTCTGGCCTGGCCCCCAGCTTAGATATTAATAAATGAACCCTAGAAGGCAAAAATAACTCATGATGAAACCACGGGATGAAGAAGTCATGGAAAGAATTACAATGGTGAGCTAAGTGATTGCATCACTAGGTTGGTTTAAAGATCGAAATAAACTCTGTGTCCATGTGCATACATGTATCTTTCCTCATGTATATATGGCACCCCGAAAACATGCCAACATCCAGATTTTCAACATTGTAAGAAACCTCGATCTGTGAAGGTAAATCATCATCCCTAAACAATCATGGAAATGTAGCCAGCAAACATATCCTTGGGAGCAAAGGAAAAAAGATATTCCATGTGAGTTTCACAGGCTAGAAAGGGTTTTATGGGAGCTTAAATGCTAAAAATAGATAGAAAAATAAGAAGCTAGGTAGATAGATTGATACATGCATACATAGACATATATACACCAGATTTGAAAGGGTAAGTAAATAGTAGGTACATAGATGATAGAGATAGATAGATAGATAGATAGATAGATAGATAGATAGATAGATAGATTGATTAATGGATAGATAGAAGAGTTGATGGATGGATGGATCAATAAATGGGAGAGTAGATGGATAAGAGAGATAGATGGATAAATACATACATTTATGTATGCATACATACATATATACAGTGCATGGATAGACAGATCAACAGATAGGATAAATAACCTATAATTTAGATATGGAGAGATAGATAATATATAGATGTAAGATGCGCCTAAAGATGATGTAGATTATAACAGATACCTA